CTCGACAGTGGCAATGCGAGCCCGCTGGAGATGCAGCTAGCGCGCCTGGAATACGACGCCATGGCGGCAGCTGCGCACTACAGTGACATAGGCCTGGCAGAAACAGGCAGCACACTACCAGACCCTTATGGCCCCCACCAGACAGCACCACGACCCAGTCCCCAGAAATATGTCTGGCCCAGGCAGACTCGATGGAACGATCGACCCAGTGGACGACGAAATACGGGCCAGGGTATACAGGGTAATAATACACGAGCACAGAAACAAAATTGTCCACTTCCCCGACCACAGCAGCATAAGGGACTGGGCTGAAACCTGCGGGATGTTCAGCTCCCGAGGAGACGACGCACTCTCGCTCGGGCAAGAGGAACGCCCCCACGGACCTATTCCCTGGGCCACCCCTGCCTTGGACAACACAGGTATACCCCGCAGGCCAGGTATACAGGGGGCATCGGGTATATGTGACGACTCCTCCAGCAACTTGTGGCCATGGAGCACGGCTGCCCATCGTCTTCTACTAGAACAGTTGTTCTGCCCCACCATCCGCTGCAGCTCCTGCGGGACCCGGCTACTCAGGGACCCCAGCGGCCCCCGTTCCTGCATCGCATGCCGACGGTTGGCCGCGCCCTGGAGTCTACCGGGCAATTCTTTCGCGTCGGACGCACTAGGGCAGGACCCATCTTTCCAGCTGGCCAGGGTCGGAGCCAGATACGCCCCTATAGCAGAACACCCGTGCGCACCGCGAGAGCCAGGCACCGTAGACCACACCGCAACATGGCTAATTGGAGAACTACTCGGCGCGTGGAGATACATGGCCACATGCCCAGACTTCTACATCAGCAGCCGCCTCCTCGGCAGCCAGGTCCTCGGAGAAGAACCTCTGCTCCGCGGCGCGGTCGCGGCGCTGGCTCTGCTTTGCGTTGTGCCCGCGCACTGGGCGGTCAGCGCGCGCAGACGAATGCGGGACCTGACCGAGACAAACCCGATTCACGCGGAGCTGTGCAAATGGTTCCCGCCAGTGGTTGGTAGGCCCAACATCGGGATGACGCCCGCCCCTCCCATCGGCCCATCCAACGGACATTACGCTACCCTACCGGACGGCTCCACAGCCGAGTAGGCAGACCTAACATGGATCGCGGCCCAGATCGGAGGCCGCTATTTCGAACAGGCCCTCCTCGACGCGTCATTTCCCGACAACCTGGTCAGGATGACCTCCCCCGTGGAGGCGGCGGAGGTGACGCGGGGCGCGTTGCAGGCCATCGCATGGCGCGAGGGCCGCCCCATACACGCCCAGATGGGGGCTGACAGCTCCGCAGGCAGCTTGGTCGTTGAGGCCGCCGCAAGAAGGATGAGATCTGCTCAGACCACTGGGGCAAGGAGACCGAACGCCCACCCCCCCACGTAGGGCGCCAGCCAGACCGGATCCAGGCAAGACACCAGCCCCTCCCACGCCCATGCCCCCCCCCCCAAGCGCCAGCTAACAGGAACAACCGACAAGACGACGACCCCGAGCTCAGCGGCGACGAACAGAGGCGCAGCGCAGCCCTCGCCAACGAGGTCAGGATAATACGCGAGCTCGTGGCCTCCGATCGGGCGCCCCCAGGCATGACATGGAGCAGCACCCTGGCCCCCTGCATTTGGGGCACCGCCGCAGATCAGGGCCAGCGAGTACTGAGGCGAACCTTCAGAGACACAGGGATGGACAGCAGCGTCATATAGACGCCGCGGCCGCTCGATGGAGCGGACAAGCAGCACGCTCCTACCGGGGCGCCCAGATCGTTATCGTGGACAACGCGAGAAGAATAGCAGGCTGGCCACCAGCATCCCGCACCGACGCCCCCCTCGCCGGAGGATGCATTCCTCCCAGACTGGAAAAATTCATGATGGAATGGCTCGACCCGCGCGGCACTCTTCAGAGCAGCATCCTATCGGGTGACAGGCGGGCCGTGGAGGCCAGTGCCCGGGCACGAGCGGAGAGGGCGCTCGATAGGCAGGCGGACGAGCAGGCAATGAGTAGCAGGACCCTTCGCACCCACGCAGGACACCGCCCCCTCGGCAGAAGAATATCCAGAGCCACTGACCCGACCCACCACGACGAACAGCGCACCACCACCCCACGGCACGCCTACATCAGACAGTCTCTGGGCAGAGAGCCCACCACCAGCCCCTTCGCCACGTCACTGCCAGCGCTGTGCCCCGAACGAATACCTGGACCGGGCCATCTTCCTTCTCGACGCCAGGCAACGAGACGACGATCAGAGCGGTAGGCGCACCTCCCACACCCCAGAAGACAGGTCTTCCATCAGTGGCGATCAGGCGCAAACCCTGGCCCACGGGATGCTGATCGACGATAACCCTGGAAGAGAACCTGGCAGCTGGATTTCACGTGCCATTTGGCTCTGCCTGGCTCCCCACTACCTTCCTCTGCTCCGCCCCATACTGCAGGCAAGAGGCATGGACCCAAGACCATGCGAGGTCATCACCAGATGGCTCTTCTTGGCAGGGATGCACACCCCAGCCGACCTAGTCCTCCGACTCAGAACGGACGGCGACGGTCCCGACCCACTCACGGACGGGACGGATCCTTCTCATGAGACTCGGCGTGTCCGTTTGCTACGCGCAGACAGAGGCCAACAAAATGGTCCGTGTCCTAATCGAAAGCCTAGGCGAAGGCATCGCCCCAGTAGGTGCGCCCCCAGGGGATGCCACCTCCCTCCCCATGGAAGACGGCGCCCCCGCCCCCGTTTCCCCGTGGGACTTCGGAGACGACTGCCCGTCTAGCCTATGCTGTAGCGGAGAGCTATTAGGGACAGCCGAAGTGTTGATCCCATGCGGGCGCATATTCCACAGCGACTGCCTCAGACAGCAGCGGCTCTCCCAACCTGCAGTGTTCAGGGAAGGGGGCAGGTATATGCCCATTCGCTGCCCACAGTGTAGGACAGACGACAGGGGCGGTATCACCGTCAGACTCAGCGAACCGACTCACAACTCCGGTGGAGAACCAGCAGGCGACACACCCGACCTGTTACAACTCCGCGACGGAGCCATCCCCCCGCTCAGACCCGCCATCAAGCTGGCCGAACGAGCAGACGCAATCCATCAGCTCAGCCCAGAGCTGGACTGTTTGCGCGCCCAACTCGTATCCCTCAGGAGGCCTCATACCTACGTGACCGTCGGAGACATGAGTAGAATCCACGCCCACATACAAGACAGGAGGCGCAGGCTTGGTTGCGATAGCGTGGCATGGATGTGGACGACCCCCCCCCCCGGCCCCCGAGCAGGGGGGGACCAAACGGACCAGTCCGGCACCACCGACACAGCTCCCCCCCGGCCAGACCCCCCACCTGCCCCGAACAGGCAGGCCAGGATCAGGCAGGCCCCCCTAATCACCCACGGACGCTGGGCTCTCCTGCTGGGGCGCAACCCATGGCCTCAGGGGCCGCAGAAGCTTTGGGGCACCTCAGGTCCCACAGAGATCGACGAATAATGTGCCCAAGCATTTCTTCCATAAGGCTTCTTGTCGTATGTGTCAACTCCAAATGCATTTGCTTGTTTGGGCTGTTTTGGGGCTACGTTGGGCCGGTTTCGGATACATGTGGGGTTGTCTTGGGCGAGGCCTCAGAAACCCGTGGGATGCACAAGCGCAAGAAGCTCAAATCATAGACTCTCTTGAGGATTTGAAATATGTCGGCCTCTTAGGGGGGGTCCTTGGGGAGGCGCCTTGTAGCCTGTTAGAGCGGTCTTGGGAGCATCTTGTGCCCTCTTGGAGGCACGTTGGACGCCTTGTTCGCCTAATTTGGCTCATCGTGCAAGATCTCGGAGACCGTCTTCGGGCACCCCGAATTTCTGAATAAGCGTCGGGGTGGTGTCAGCCCCGCCGACAGTCCCACATCGATCCCCGTCGCGGGCAGCCTGACCCCCGTCGGGGGGGTACCCCCCCACGCTACTTCAGAAACCTAGAGTCGGTAAGGCCATCTTGGAGCCATCTGGGCCCAAGCGGGCCTTACGACACCAGGGTGGGGGGGCGCCCAGACCTGGGGGAGGGGGGGAAGGGGAAGGGACGGAATCAATTTCCCAAAGGGAGCGCCACAAGTCGTCTCCCTCCTCCTTCTCCTCCTCCTCCTCCTCCTCCTTCTCCTCCTCCTCCTCCTCCTCCTCACTCCTCCTCCTCCTCCTCCTTCGCCTCCCTCTCCTCCTCCTCCTCGCTCACACTCACCCGACCTACTACCGCATAAGTTGCACCATAGACTCAGCATTGGATGAGGTCGCCATCGGGTGGACAACCACCAGGGACCAAAACAGATGCCAGTGCCTAGCGCGCCAGACGCGCCACGTGCGCCAAGTGTGCCACATACTCCACCCGCGCCACTCATTCGACGCTCGCAGAATGCAGGCGTCAACAGATGCTTCAGTGTAAATGACAGCACTTATCTGGTAATGTGTCTACATATGTCGGCCCCTCCAACACCATCCCGGTCAAAATCGAACAGAAGGTGGCGGCGCGGTGGCCAGAATCATGTATGACGCTTGCACCCGCAATCATTGCGCAGTGGTTTTTGATACGGACAGTTGGCGATCTCCCATCAGACCGACAGGCTCCCAACCCCGCCACCCCTGTCAAAAACCAATGCGCAGTGATCGTGGGGTGCCTGCTTACGCTCAGGGTTTGTCGCCACATGCATTTCAATGTTGCAGGGATGACGGGGGGAGCCTCAATTTTCCTGTCGGCGGCTGGTCGAGAGTGGGGAGGGAGTGCTTACTGATAGGAGGCAGCGGTGCGCCACTCCCCCGAGGGGAAGAAAGAGATTTGGAACAGCTGACCCCTTGACGTCACGAGGGCTGGCAGAATCATTCTCCACAAGTGGGAGCTCGACAACAAGATCATCAGACAATACTGTTACTGCCCGCAAGAAGTTTTGCCTCAAGACCCCCGGGGCCCGGGCCAGGCCAGCCCCGAGCCGCCACGCCGCAGCGGCGCTCCGGAAGGCGGGCGGGCCGCAATGTCGCTGCCCCCGGATTGGACGAGGTACGAGACGGACGACGGCAAGGAGTACTTTCACAATTCGGCCACCAACCAGACGCAGTGGGAGCCGCCGAAGATGGCGGACCCCATGGCCTTCATCGACGGCGGCGGCACATCTGACGTGTTCCAGTACCAGCCCTCCGCCCTCGACCTGTCGGCGGCGCCGGCGCCGGCCTCCGCCGCGAGCGCGCCCACCGGCAGCATGGTGGAGATGCAGCAGCGGGACGCCTCTCCCACGGTCTCGCTGAATGCGGGGGCGGCCCCGATTGGTGCAATTGGAAGCGGCAGCGGCGCTGGCGGAGCTGGCGGAGCTGGCGGCGCTGGCGGCGCTGGCTTCATGAGCAGCCTCGGCGGCCTGGTCGCGGGCGCGGCCATGTCGGCCGTGGCTGGGTCGGCGGGCGGCCATGCGGCCGGCGGCGGCGACGCCAGCGCAGGCTTCAGCGGCTATTTGCTGGAGAGGGCGCAGCAGCTCTTCGACGTGAGCACCAACGACGTCGTTCAGCGGCTTCGCATGGTTCTGCCCCTGAAGCCTCCGGACGGTGCCAAGGAAGATCTGAAGGACAGGCCAGACTTCTACGGCCCCTTCTGGATTGCGACGACCGCGGTGCTCTTCCTCGCGGCCACGGGGAACTTCGCGAGGCTCATCCAGGCGGGCGACCACCGCGCCTTCCAGCCGGACTACGGGCTCGTCAGCCTCGCCGCCACGATGATCTACGGGACCCTCGGGGCGTTGCCCGCCGTCGCCCGCGGGGCGATCTTCTTCGCCGGCGACGGGGGCGGCACCGTGAGCCTGCAGCAGATCGTGTGCGTGTGCGGCTACTCCATGGCGCCGATGATCCCGGCATCCGAAGAAAAAAAATCGTAATATGCATGAACGTTTCGCGCTCCGCGCGGATTTCTTGGATCCCCGCTGGGCCCCCCCCGGCGGTGCCTCTGGCGCCGCCCCTTGCGCGCTCCGCGCGCCAGGAAGGGGGGCCCAGCGCGGATCCAAGAAGTCCGCGCGGAGCGCGTGAAGTTTATGTTTATGGCGTTTTTCTTTTTCTAGGTCTCCATGCTCTGCCTGATTCCTTTGGACGGGCTCCGGTGGCTCCTCACGCTGCTGGGCACCGCGATGTCGCTGTACTTCCTCCGCGGCCACCTGCTGACCGACATCCAGGTGACGGCGCCGACCCCCAAGCTGATCCTGACGGCGGCGCCCTGCGTCACCGTGGCGACGATATTCCTGGTCTACAGGGTGCACTTCTTCTAGGGGCCGCCCGGGCCAACCGGGCGGCCCAGCGGCGCGGCTTGACCCGCTGCCCGCCGCCCCGAAAGAGCGCCCAGCCGCACGCCTCCTGGCTCTCCCTGCCTGCTGCGCGGTCCTCCGCACCCTTTCTCCCCCTTCACTCTCCTCCTCGTCCCCCCTCCTCCCTTCTCCAGCCGCCCTCCTCCTCCTCCTCCTCCTCCTCCTCCTCCTCCTCCTTCCTTCCGTAGCCATTTGGCTCAAGGCTCAAATCTGCCCCTGGGATTTGATCCTTGGTGCAGCCGACGGGGAGGCTCAGAGGCTTTCGGGGACAGGCCCCACGGCTTCTGAGAGCAGTTCACTCTGCTCCACCGCGCTCCCAGAGCTGCCATGTCGGGGGCTGCTGCTTCTGGCGGAGCCGCCGAGGACGAGGAGGCCAAGACGACGGTGCCCACGTCCGCGCTCGAGCGGATTGCCGCTGCGATGGAGGAGAACGCCAGATGTAACAAGCGGATGGAGGAGAAGATGCAAGTGATCACGGAGGCCCAGCAGAGGGCCATGAGCGAGATCGGCAAGATCGCGACGCTGGAGGCTAAGGTCATATCCATCGAGAACTCCCTGGCTCGTCTTCCTGCTGGTGCGAGTCAAAACGACGCCAAGTTCGCCAAGCAGATGGACGATCTCGCCGCCAACGTGAAGAGGGACATGGACTCCATGCGCGCCGAGATCCAGTCCGCATCTCAGGCTGCTACCTCTGCGGGGTCGGGTTCTCGACCCTCGAAGTACTCTCGTGCTGCAAGCGCAGGACCGCCTGGCCGTGCCGCACCAGATGACGAGCCTGATGATCGTCGTCGTTGGATCAGCGGATTTCCACGTCCGCTGCTATCAGCTGCTCGCATGGCCCACTTCGAGCAGCTCAAGGGGCACGTCAGCAGACACATGATGGAGAACATGACTGCCAAGTTCGCGCGGATCTCCCAGAGCTACAGCGTCCACTTCGAGACTGCCGCGCAGGCACGCGAGTTCCATGACTATATGACGGAGAACCCGATGTGCTGGCGAGACGCACGAGACCAATCATCTCATGATATTCGAGTTCGCAGTGATTTGCCAGGTGACGTACGCAGCCGTCAGCGCCAGCTTGGACGAGTTTGGTCCTCTGTGAAGGAGCTGATGGTGAAGAAAAACTTTTGGTCTCAGAGTGTTCGGATGGGAGCCAATGGCTTTCGCAACGAGTTCTATTTCATCAAGGACGGCGACATCTGGATCCTCTTCAGGGGCGTGGTGGACCCGCTCAATCGGATGATGTGCACGGCCACGGACGACATCAACCACTTCGGCTTCGATCAAGCAGACGTCGACCGTATGCTGCGCTTGCTCAATGAGTAGGAGATTACGCAACCAGTACAGGGACATGTAAGGAATTCGCGCTGTGCAAATAGCCGCAGCTCTACCTCACTCCAACGGCAGCTGGATCATATGCGTTTTTGTTCCTCGGCCTCCTCTACCTCGTCCTCGTCGGTAAGCGGCACCTCTGCCAGTTCGTCAGTGGAGTCCAGTGATGAGGATGGCGAATGGGGCGACACCTCGTCCGACCAGGTGCTAGAGTTGCCGTTCATCGTGCGAGAGAGATTCAGGATCACGACGTGGAACACTCATACTTTGTTTGGATCTATCTATGCTGACGTGGAGACACAAGCTCGAACGAGAGCGACTGTCATGAAGCTGTGCGAGAGGTCCGACATTGTAGTTTTGCAGGAGTGTCACGGGAACCGTGAAGACTTGGGTCTCTTGCTTGCTGATCTCCAGCATTTTCGAGGCTGGGGTACCTTCCTCTCGAGCCAGGCTGCTGGAGGTTCTGTGATCCTGATTCGCCGCTCATTTTTACAATACTTTGTGCATGTCAAGCACGAGGTTACCGCCAAGGGGCGGTGCCACCACCTTCATCTTCGGGGAAAGCTAGGATGTATGACAGTTAGCAACATTCACATAAATCCAAGTCTCAGCAACAGTCAGAAATATGGGTTGATTAGGCAGGTGGCTACTTGTATCCAACCTTCCTCGAAATACGCGTCATGGATTTTGGGAGATTTCAACTGTCTTGATCCTGGGGACTCTCGGCTTTTTCTTCGTGCTGAACCTGTGTCGAGTAAAACAGATACTGTAGGAGCCTTTTTCGCCAACACCTTCCCCACCCTCTGCGAGCTGACCCAGCTCAACCCTACCTTTAGAGTTAAGCACGGTGAGCAGCTGGTTTCTGCTAGTCGATTAGATAGAGTGTACACATCTTTGGACTCTGGGCACTTATTGGATTTGAAGCCGATGGCAGGCGTACTCTGGCCAGTGACTGACCTAACCAGACCTAGCGACCACACGCCGCTGTATGTCCAGCTGAACCCAGGCCACAAGGCGTCTTTCCCTAGAATTGCCTCGTGGATCGTGAGAAAGCCGCAGTTTTCGGACCTGGTCCAGGACCTCTGGAGAGATATGCCTGAATTCAGGGATGCTTGGTGTCGTCTTCGGGCCTTAAAAGAAGTTTTTCACGAGGCAGCTCGGCAGGTGAAAGAAGGTCTCTCCGTGGATGGTCCGTCGACCAACCAAGAGAAGTTGTCCTGGTTCTTCGCCGTGCTCCGTGCGATGACGATGGACAACAGCCGTGTAGTGAAGAAAGCTGTGCGAGCTTACCCTGACCTGTGCCAGTTTATTGATTTGGATGGAATGTTTTGGGTGAACTATGCTGGTTTCATGGAACGGATGAGGAGCTGTTCCCAAGCGGTTTTGGAGGAGGAGGTGAAGGAGTTGTTTTCGACGCCGCAGCTTTCTGAGGAGTACAAGGTTAAGAAAGCACAGCAACTTCAGAGGCACCTGCAGGTCTGGAGGGCCCGCAATCGTCGAATAGTTCTCGCTGGAGTTGAAGCTCCGGACGGCAGTGTTCCCGACACTCTCGAGGGTAGTGCTGAACTCCTGGCTGAACACTGGGGGCAGGTCCACGCAAATCGTCCTCGGGATCCTGAATTTCGCGAGCCCTTTTTAGAAGATTCGTGCAGGAAGCTTCGGATCGTGTTCTCTGGACTGCCGACTACGAGCAGTTTTTGCAGGGGCTTCAGAGGTATCGGGATTCGGCTCCTGGGCCCGACGGGGTTCCGTTCAGCTGCTACTCTCACTGTGGGGAGTTAGGTGCCCAGGTCTTGTTTCAGGCGTACCAGGCCCTACTGGAGGGCGACATCTGCGACGCCACCACGTTTAACGAATGTCTCGCTGTTTTTATCCCCAAGGGAGAGATCCCTGAGTGCATCGACGAGTTGATAAAGAGCCCGTCTGAGACTCGGCCTATATGTCTGAGCAACACAGATAACAAGATCCTTAGTGGGTGGTTGAATTGGGGCCTTGCCAGGCAAGCATCGATATCCTGTGCCGAGCCTCAGCGTGGCTTTGTCATGCGTCGCTATTTGAACGACAACGTTCTTGAAGCCAACTCTAAGCTGGCCGTCTGGTTCTGTGTCGCCGGGGAGAGGGACACCGGAGGCTTCCTCCTAGATGTGCGTGCTGCGTTCCCTTCCCTGAATCATGATTGGATATGGTGGGTGTTTGGGAAGATGGGCATCCCGTCCTACATCATTCGCGCGTTTCGGTTCCTCTATTCGGGCATACAGGTCGCGATTGTTCTCTCCGGTGGTCGCTTCGCGGGGTTCGAGATTTCCTCTGGGATTAAGCAGGGATGTCCAGCCTCGGGATCAGTATTCGCCTTAGCTCTAGATCCTGTGGTGCGTGCTCTCATGTGTGCGCTGCCGCCTCCAGAGTCTTGCCTGTGCGCCTTCGCTGACGATTTGATGCACGGGTCGCGGAACCTGTTCCTTTCTGTTCCCATCGTGCTAGTCATTATGCAGCAGTGTGGTCTGGCGACAGGATTGTTCTTGAACCCACGTAAGAGCGTGATAATATTCATGGCTGAGTATTCCGAGGAGTATATCAGAGACAGGTTTGAGGAGATGGGCATTGATCTTGGGAGCATTCGTATTATGGTGAACGGGAAATACTTAGGCATATTCTTGGGTAGAGGAGGGGACGAGGTTAGCTGGAGGGACCCGCTCATCAAGTATGTGAGGAGGGTGAGGGAGATTAGAGGATTGGGTTTGAGCTTCGTTGAGAACCTCCTGAGCTATAAGACTCTGGCCCTTTCGGTCACACAATTTGTCGGGCAGTTCTTCGAGCCTCCAGCAGCAGCTTTTCGTCTGGAGGATGAGTGTCTTCAGCTGCTCGTGAATGGACCGCGACATGCGGTACCTCGGGCTGCCTTCTTTGACCTGGAGAGTGTTGGCATCAAGTTGAAGGTGCCGCAGCTCCGTCAGTTGTGCCTGGCCGCCCGATACAGAACGGCTAAGAAAAGCGAAATATTCCCGAAGTTGATTAACATGTACAATGACCTGGTTGACACTGATGAATACCTGCTTAGCCATTCGTTCAATCCCCTGTTCCAGCAGTCCAGCTTGTACCAGCTAGACAAGGTCTGCCGCATGCTAGATAGCCTCCCGAAGATGCCAGAGGACCCCGAGAAAAAAGGATTCCAGGCGCAGGTCTTGAAGAGGCTCCAGCAGCTGTTCCCGGGTATTCCGTGCTGTGAGGCCTTATTGGTCCGCTCAGGGTACTTTCTGGGACCTCAAGTCGTGAGCCAAGCCAATGTAATCACTTTACAGATTAAGTTAGGTCGTGTAGGTCAGAATGTGCCAAATTTTATCATGTCTAGTGTAATCAAATCCATGTGTAACGCCTGGAGCACCACACGTAGGTACCATCATAGAGCTGAGGGGTGCCGATTTGGGTGCGCCAATGTAGGAGGTGATGATGTGTGTCACTATGTTAAGTGCCCTGTTTCTGAGCCTACGGTTTTAGAGCTGTTGCCGCTTCTCCAGGGGTCGTTTCAGAATTTGTCGGGGCCAGAAAGATTGTGTCCGCACGTTTGGCCTGGAGACCTGGACACTCAGGTATCTAGCGCCATTGCTCTAGACTTGCTGTTCAATTGTTATAAC